TAATGGTATGTGTACATGGAAATATTAATATGTACATGTATGTATGGTATTGAGTTAATCAACCAACTTCAGAACTAGATTTTCTACTTCTAGAATATCAAATTATAAACCAAAATCTGATACGCATAGGCCTAGTAGATTCTCATTCATTGATACAGCTATTGATGGATGAAAAAAAAAATAAATAAATGATGTTAATTTTTTGAAAATTGAATCCATATATGTAGTATTTTAAATGTATTTATTGTAATGTCTCTAGTTTTACTGTTCTATTATTCTGTAATTTTAGTATTCTTATTTAGGGACCACTGTGGCAATAAGTTGCTTTTTGCATTTCTGTGTTTTTATCCTTGAATGTTTTAAACTAATGATTACTTTCCAGAATGTTCAGATGGTACAAAAAAAAGGGCGTGTTCTTTGTGCTTGGCTTTGTTGAGTTTCAAATAGTACTAATGTACGTTTAGGCGTTTGTGCGATACACATTTACGTAATTTTTGCTATGAGCTTTGTTGTTAACGTTTTTGTTGAGCAAATACTGTAATAAATAAAAAGCTATCAAAAATTGTAATAGTAGGCTAAGTATGTCAGTCAAATGAAGAATGAAAAAATAGACCGTTAACGGCTTCCAAATCTCTTTAGTGAATATGGTGGCTCTGAAAAGAGCCGTTTGGTTTGAAAAGATGGTTCACAAAATCTACTTGGTTTTGGCCTGGGTCTTCTTTGGCAAAAGTACAGCCTGGATATTTGGTAGTACACCTCCTTGTGCGATGGTCACACTTCCGAGAAGACGGTTCAACTCTTCATCGTTACGGATGGCAAGTTGAAGGTGACGGGGGATGATTCTGCTCTTTTTGTTATCACGGGCAGCGTTACCAGCCAACTCCAAGATTTCAGCAGTCAAGTACTCGAGTACGGCAGCCATGTAGACTGGGGCACCAGCACCGACACGAGATGCATAGTTACCCTTCCGCAAAAATCGGTGAACACGACCAACTGGGAATTGAAGTCCAGCACGGCTTGATCGGCTCTTGGCCTTTCCCTTAGCTTTTCCTCCTTTACCACGTCCAGACATAATGTATTCGCTATTCGGTTACTAAAATCATTTTTCTAATACAGAAGTATGAGTAGGATAATACATACTCCAAGTATCGAAATGCACGCCATTGTGTCGGGATTCAATATTTCGACATTAATCATCAGGAGTATCGAAATTCACGCCATCGTGTCGGGATTCAATATTTCGGATGACATAATTAATGTCGAAATATTGAATCCCGACACGATGGCGTGCATTTCGATATTTGGAGTATGTATTATACCATGGAGATATAAAAATATTTTTATACCTCCATGATTATACTATCTTATCTGATATTAATCAGTGGACTTTGCGGTTTTTGAAAAATATGTGTAGGCCTATGAGAAGGCAATTGCCCTGTCATTTTTTTATGTGTATGATTTTAATTCAAATAAGACATTACATTCCCTACCACCATTACCATTATACAGAGTTGAATCAAAGCGAATGAGTTGGTCTCGAAAATTCACACACTGTTTCGTTATATCAGTACAGTATAATACAATTCAATGGAAAATCTTAAAAATTGGACTTTTAAAAGTTCAACAATTGCTGATAATGCCTAGGCTAGTGTAGGACAAGACCACTTGACAGCTACACCCCGGCCCTTTCGATGCCGGTTACATCTACGGGTGAATTGTAGGTACGTGCCAGTACTACGGGGACACAATTATATGTACGTCCCCGGCTCAGTACTACAATTGACAAGTGCATTATCAGCGACAACTTCTATATTTGTTTCACTAGAATGTTACAGAAAATGTAGGGTTTTCAAAGAATCTATTTAGCTCCTACACTGTACAACCACGGAGGAATTTTCAACAATAACATACGCCCAAATTTAAAGTAAAATGCCAATGAAATTGAAATGGCGCCCCCTACAAAAATGTGAGTAAAACATGTACAACATTTACTGTAACCGTATGTAGATTCGTGTATTTTTATATATATATATATCGATATACCGTACATATATATATATATAGGGGCCTATATATGTATTTATCAAATAGATAAATAAATACCACGAAGATATAATCGTATCAAGCATAGCCCTTCAACGAAAAGTTTATTTTTTATGTAAGAAAACAAATTATACGTTGCTCCTGTTGTATACACCATATGCTACATACATAATCCATACTGTACTAGGCCCTAGTTTCTTCATTTGCCTGTTGTTTTTTTTTTGGGGGGGGGGGGAACCCGTAGATGTAACCAGCAAAAAAAACCAGACATATGAAGAAACTGTAGACAAAAATGCTTTTTTCTCTTTTGAACAAGTTTTGGCTCTGAAAAGAGCCTTTTGGTTTGAAATAACACTGATGACAGTTTATGCACGTTCACCACGGATACGGCGGGCCAGTTGGATGTCCTTTGGCATAATGGTTACACGTTTGGCGTGGATAGCGCACAAGTTGGTATCTTCGAAAAGACCGACTAAGTAAGCTTCGCTAGCTTCTTGAAGAGCCATGGCAGCAGAACTCTGGAATCGGAGATCGGTTTTAAAGTCTTGGGCGATTTCACGAACTAGACGTTGGAATGGGAGCTTGCGGATGAGAAGCTCAGTACTCTTTTGGTATCGACGGATCTCACGAAGAGCGACAGTTCCAGGCCTGTAGCGATGAGGTTTCTTGACACCACCGGTGGCTGGTGCACTTTTTCGTGCTGCCTTGGTGGCAAGTTGTTTTCGGGGAGCTTTTCCTCCGGTAGATTTACGGGCAGTTTGCTTAGTACGAGCCATCGTTATTTTCAATTTGAAATTGATGTCCAATATCGAAAATGCAATGTGCTTATATAGTGAGATGTTCTTAGAACAACCAACATGATTGGTTGAGCGAATGCCTAAGATCACGTCCGTAAAGTATGGCGCGTTCGTTTCAAAAATGGCTTTGTGTGTCAAACAGAACAGGGAATCAAGGAAAATGTATTGTCGACAATCGTCAATACCAGCATAGAGCAAAGAAACAGTTTCTTTGCTCTATGATACCAGATACAGTCGAAATTTGTGTCCAGGTGCAGTAATACAAATGGATTAATAATATAACATGATAATATTAGTTTTTAACAATGGAACATACAAAATACAGATAATATATATTTATATATATAGGCCTATATATATATATATATAATAAATCATCAAAGAAAGGTTAATACAGTGTTTAATAAAGGACAATAATACATCGCGTAGCATAGCTCTCAACGAATATATATATATATATGTATATAGGCCTATACATTTATCAAAACATTTAAAAAGAAAGACTAATTATTGGGATATATTGTATAACCACATATTGCAAATTGAGACTTAAAAAAAATATGACAGGTTTCATATAAAATACAGGTACAGGCCTATACTCTATAATGACTATTAAATTGGGTATCATGAAATTATCGGCCTTTATTGAAATTGTTTTAAAAAATGAATTGAATTTAATAAACGGAAAACATTTGCATGTAGGATTAGGACACAAACAGTACAGTATACAGTATGCCTTAGCCTCCCTACAGATATTTGTCTACCCTTAAGATAATATATTGAATTTACAGTAATGTACAGTACGAGTAATGGGCCTACTATACAAGTTATTAGTTGAAAACAGATATTTTTTTTAAATATTTCACAAATTATTTCAAGGCTGTAGCCAGGATTTGTAAAGGGGAGGGCGGGGTTTTCAGACAAAAACCCCCCCAAAAAACAGGAGCATTATACTATTTGACTCGTTTTTATCATCAATATTGGATTTATTTAATGGTAAATTTACAATTTTTGTTATAGACCAGACGCCTTATTCATTTATTCAGAACCTATCGCTATGACAGACATTAGAAAGTACCGGTACTAATTTTCATGACCTCGATTTTTAGATGACCAGATATGTCACTCTAGAAATTTGTACATACACCTTCAAAAGGGCACTTCTTTAAAAAGGGGGTTCGTTGGAACCACCGCCCCCTGGTACGGGCCTGCATTTGCGAATTAAAAATTCAAATTAAATACACATTTGTAAGTTGAAATACCATTGTTGGATATTTCAATTAATGCTTTTACTCTTATGTTAGTTTTACTATTTTACTAAAATCGAAAAACGAGCATGTTTCTTTTAAAATCATACACCGTCTCTGATGAACTGATTTTTTTTTACCTAAAAATGATGTGTAATGATATGAATGTGTACATAAAAACGGAAAGCAATCATTCTCTTTTGTTCAAATCGTGGCTCTGAAAAGAGCCGTTTGGTTTGGGGGAAGATGAGTAGCTTATCCACCGAATCCGTACAGGGTTCGGCCTTGTCTCTTCAAGGCGTAGACGACATCCATGGCGGTGACGGTCTTTCTCTTGGCATGCTCAGTGTATGTGACAGCATCACGGATGACATTCTCAAGGAATACTTTCAATACACCACGGGTCTCTTCGTAGATAAGACCAGATATACGCTTGACACCACCACGACGAGCAAGACGACGGATAGCCGGTTTGGTGATACCTTGGATGTTATCACGCAACACCTTACGATGACGCTTAGCGCCTCCTTTTCCAAGTCCTTTTCCTCCTTTACCACGTCCAGACATATTACTTACTGCTGTATTCGAAGTTCGATTCGAAATGAACTTCAGCATGAATTCGCTAGATTCATCTAGTCTGTTTACGGACGTAATATGAATTATCGTGTATAGCTGCCAAGTTGTGTACTGCGGCTGACCTTGGGCTATTGTTTAGCGGGAGTTTTGAAAGCAGTGGAAATTCCGCCATTTTCAACAAATGTTTGCCTTTGTTTTCGGACCTTATTTATTTGAGAGGGAAATATCTAATTTTTAAATTTAATCAAATTTAATACAAATCAATGAAAATCGGCCTAAAAATTATTCTATTAGGCCTATGTTCTTTTTGAAGTTCCATATTTTAATGAACTTCCCCTTCCTTTTTGGCGGGAGTTTTCCGCCGTGTAGTCTGTAGATTAATTCCTATTTGGTGTTTTCCGTCAAAACAAGTATCTGTTTATAAACTATAACAGCTGTAATCTCTTGTTTTCTAAACGCATATGAATACTGTATCATCACTTATACGAGGGGGAAACAACTGTTTTAATAAGTTGCACAAACATAAAAAAAACAAAAAAAAACTCTGGATCCAACATTGCTTATCAGACAAATACTATTTATTAGGATATTGCTTTGGGGAGTTGTGAGTGGGGATTTAAATCTTCCAATACTGTACACATACAGTGGGATTGAACCTTGGGAATATAAAATATAATGCAGAAATTGTGATTGTGTGAATGCAAATTCACATACAGTACTACTACTAGGGAACAGTTAATACTGTACTACTATAGCTATACGACATACTGTAGAATCCAATCAAGGTAAACACCTCCTCACTACTACTCGCCATATAGGCCTACACATATAAGATGTAAAGTCAAGCTGTATAATCAAATATACGGGTGATACATGTCACAAATGATAATCAGCATGAAGTGGACGGAGTTGTAGATTTGTGTAGAAAAATAAACTGTATAGTATATAAATACTGTACAGTAATAAGAAATGACTTCTGTATTAAGGAGCCGTTATTTGAACCTCTTTTCATCGATACTGTAATTATATTTGAACAACATTAGTGTTTTGTTACAAGATATTCTGAAATGAAATGTGAAATACAAGTGTGAAAGGTTAATTAAGGAAAAGGTTGTACTAATCAGGACGCTAGATAATTTGTAATGTAATTTATGTCAAAAATGAAATATCTAAATTTAAAAATTCAGATGTATCTGTGAAAAATGTAACAGAAAAAACCTTTAATCATATTAATACTTAGTATACTGTAAACAGAAAAGCTATCGTTCTCTTTTGTTTAAATGGTGGCTCTGAAAAGAGCCGTTTCGGTTGAGAAATACACCGTCTACTTCTTAGATTTCTTTGGAGACTTGGTAGACTTCTTGGCTTTTGGCTTTTTAGCCTTGGCCTTCTTGGGAGACTTCGCTTTCTTTGGCTTGGCCGCTTTCTTCTCCGATTTTTTTGCCTTCTTTGGTGACTTGGAAGTCTTCTTGGCTGGCTTTTTAGCCTTCTTGGCAGCTGGTTTCTTAGCCTTTTTGGTAGCTTTCTTTGCTGCTTTTTTTTCTTTATCTGCTGCTGCTTTCTTCTTAGCTTTTTCTTTCTTTGCCTTTGCAGCAGCATCTGCCTTGGCTGCAGCCTGGTTCAATTTAAACGATCCGCTGGCGCCTGTGCCTTTAGTCTGGGCTAGTTTTCCGCTATCGACACCACGTTTTAAAGCCATCTTCAGGTGGGTGTTCATGTTACCAGCATCAACCTTGTAGTTGGCTTGAATGTACTTGGCGATTGCCTGACGAGAAGAACCATTTCTTTCTTTCAAAGCACCTATGGCAGCAGTGATCATCTCAATGTAAGTAGGATGAGATGCTGGCTTTTTAGGCGCAGCCTTTTTCTTAGCTTTGGCTTGTTCAGTCATTTTGTTCAAGATGTTCACTACCAACAAAACTTCGACAATAAGCTTACAAGTTAGAACTGTACTAGATGACTAAATCAGCCAATACTTATACATTCAAAGCGGACCTGGTATGAGACACTTCCGATAGAATTGAGCGAATTGCTGTTGCGTGGCGCGAATATTTTGATACAGTTCTAAATCAAATTTTACTCTCAAAACTTGCATACACTTAAACCGAAATACAATTAAATTATACTTACAACAGCCATGTATGGGTTATATTATTACGGCATTTCAGTCTGGGAAAATACAATTAATAAAAATAAAGTAATTCACAGATTGCAAAAAGAGCAGCAGGCATAGTTATTTGAAAGACAGTATTGCACGTTTAAATGTTTGAACGTCACTGCACCTCCTATGTAATGAAATAGAAACAGTTTAATCGACATGTGTATAACACAAGAAATGCAGATTCACTAAACACTGTACAGCTCCAAAAGTAAGTTTGTAAGACTTCACTGTATGCCGGTGAAAACGTTATGGAATGCCTTATCACAGATATTAACAGAATCAACTGATTATTTTAATTTCAAGTTAAACTATAAGAATAGAATATATAATTAATAAAATCTGAATTAAGTTACCACTTTTAAAATACTGTACTCTTAATTTTAAACTCTTACACTTGCATATAGTTTTATTATCAATTTTAGGGCTAAACTGTTAATACATTTCTTAAAACAATTTTACTACAGTATTACTTTCACCATGGACCTATTTTAATACCATGCTTTTACTATTAAATTTTAATGTTGGATAATGTATTTTTGTATATCACAAAACAGGACCATATTTGAAACAGGTTATACAACCTTCATTTGAAAGAATGAAATTTTACCCAACACTTGAAAAAAATGGTAGCAAGTAAACGCAGGTAACAACAGACTTATTTGCACACGACGTGTACAGGTTAATCTTTTTAAAAATTATTATAACTAGGCCTACCTAATTAATAAGAGTACGTTTGTATAATAGTCCCCCACAATCAAAATATTGCATTGTCTGTGATTGATATATAGAACCTGACACTCAGGCCAAGCTATTTATGGAGTTATTTTCAATAAAAATATAGCCAGCAGATAATTTTCCTGGTAGAATAAATGTTGTGTTGCTTTGAATCAGGAAATGGTTAAATTTTAATTTAACCGTTCCCTACTTCGGATTATTTGTGTATCTACATTTTCGAATTATTTGTATATTTCACTAACCGCTTACTAATATCAATATAGGGGAAAAAAAGTGCAAACGACAGACACTGAAATTCACAAATCTCTTTTGAAATTTTGTGTGGCTCTGAAAAGAGCCGTTTGGTTTGAAACTGGGCAAGATGTTTACTTGGAACTGGTGTATTTTGTGACAGCCTTGGTACCTTCAGAAACGGCATGCTTGGCCAATTCACCGGGCAGCAAGAGACGGACAGCGGTCTGGACTTCCCTGCTGGTGATGGTGGATTTTTTATTGTACTGAGCAAGACGAGATGCTTCACCAGCAATACGTTCGAATATATCGTTGACGAAGCTGTTCATGATTCCCATGGCTCTGCTGGAGATACCAGTGTCTGGGTGAACTTGCTTCAACACCTTGTAGATGTAGATGCTGTAGCTTTCCTTTCGCTTACGTCTCCTTTTCTTGTCGCCAGCTCTGACGGCTTTAGCCTTACCGGCTTTTTTGGCAGCTTTTCCTGAAGTCTTTGGAGGCATACTTTCAATTTAGACTATACGAATTCGAATAGATGAGTGAAGAACTGAAGTGGAACAGAGTACTTATAGAGTTAGATATGCAAATTATGGCTTCACGGCAATCCCTTATCGGCTTAAAGCTTCCTATTGGATGTTGAAAGCCCGCGTTTAATTGAATACTGTAATAAATCGCATGATATCTAGTTTATAAACTTAATATTCATTAAAACTGTCTCTTATACACATCTAGATGTGTATAAGAGACAGGCTCTGAAAAGAGCCGTTTGGTTTGAGGGAAGATGAGCAGTTTAACCACCGAATCCGTACAGGGTTCGGCCTTGTCTCTTTAAGGCGTAGACGACATCCATGGCGGTGACGGTCTTTCTCTTGGCGTGCTCGGTGTATGTGACAGCATCACGGATGACATTTTCAAGGAATACTTTCAATACACCACGGGTCTCTTCGTAAATGAGACCAGAAATACGCTTGACACCGCCACGACGAGCAAGACGACGGATAGCTGGTTTGGTGATACCTTGGATGTTATCACGCAACACCTTACGATGACGCTTAGCGCCTCCTTTTCCAAGTCCTTTCCCTCCTTTACCACGTCCAGACATATTACTTATTGCTGTATTCGAAATTCGATTCGAAATGTCCTCGAGGTAAATTTGCTAAATCTATATAGTCTTTATACGGACGTAGTATGAATTATCAAGTATCACCGTCATGCACTGACACTGCTAATTGTTTTGTGGGCGTTTTGAAGCTGTGTTGATTTGCGCCAAATTCTAGACAAACATGTTTGCTTTTGTTTTCGGGCTTGTCTTTAATTTGAGAGGGAAAAATAATCTACCCTATTCGTTCCATGTGTTTAATGAACTTTATCTTCCTATATGGCGTTAGTTTCCCAAACTATTGTGTAGAGTCGGTTAATTAATAACTGCGCCGGTTTATAAATCGCATGATATCTAGTTTATAAACTTAATATTCATTAAAATGTTAATTATTATTATTACAGTTATTCTGTAACTATCTAACTACTACCTATTGTATTCAAAAAGTACATATGACTATACTAATCATGATGATGCAAGATGAAATAAGTTGTAAGTTTCAATAACATAAGTTACACAAAAATTTTTCAGTTATTTATTCGACTTCACACTAGCATTGCGAAATAAAGTTTAACTATGATGACAACTCTTAATCTATCATTGCTTAAGACGCAAGTTTAGTTTTTCAATATTAGATAATGCAGTATTCATTTCACCAAATGAAGAAAAGGAAACAAAATCAGGAATGGAGGGAAGTTAGGCTCGTACAGGAAATTGGCCACCTTAATGAAAAAATATAAATAAATTAAATAAAAAAGTGCAGGACAAAGACAAAAAAAGTACAGACGTCACAGAACAAACAACATACAGGAAGGTAGATGCTGCAAGAATGATAATGAATAAATTAAGGTTATAAGGAATATAATTAAATATGCAAATACAGTATAAAGATAGGCCTATAACTCAGAACTGTCTCTCTCAGTATACTATAATACTTACATTTACATAAATAAATACATGTATTATTGATTGTATTTAGTTAAATACAACCTAACCAGATTGTATTTATTCAAGTAAATGTACTATGGTACTTACAAATAAAACAATAAAACAAACAGAAATTTTGAATAAATAATAAGTATAAATAATATAATAAAATTAATTGATACTAATTCAATTTAATTAACAAATATTATTTTAAGTATTATAAATTAATAATTATATATTAATGAGCTGATTTATTAGGTTGTTATTAAATGTACAATAATTAATACAAGAAACTTAAAGTATCATAATATAGTACATTAAATTAAATAAATACAGCCTTAGGCCTAATTATTAGATTGTAATTACTTTTATTATATATATTTAACTAAATGTATAATACTTAAAGAAATACAGCAGAAATTATGATGCTCTGCTAGTGAATTTAGTAATAAACACAACCTAATAAATTAGGCCTAGTTAATGCAATAAAGAAATAAGTGAACTTTTTTTAAATAAATAGGTTGTATTATTATTGTTATTATTATGTACTATAATACTTAATACATTAGCGTAAATAAATACAGGTATTATTAGATTGTATTTACTGTACTTAAATAAATACAACCTAACCAGATTGTATTTAATTCATGTACTATTATACTTTAAAAGAAATACAACAAACAAATGATGATGCTTTAGTAAAATAAATACAACCTAATAAATAATTAGGATAGTTAATACAATGAAGAAATAACTGATACAGTACTGTACTGTGCTAATTACAGTATACTATGAACACCAGTAAAAACAACAAAAATGATGATGCTCTATGGTAAATGTAGTAAAATAAATACAACCTAATATATAGTTAGGCTAGTTAATACAATGAAGGATTAACTGATACTGTACTTTAATTATACTATGAACACCAGTAAAAACAACAGAAATGATGATGCTTTTTGGTAAATGTAGTAAAATAAATACAACCTAATATATAGTTAGCCTAGCTAACAGGGAAGAAATGAGTGATACTGTGCTTTTCTAATTATACTATGAACACCAGTAATTACCATGACTGGGATTAACTGGGTGTAATAGCGTTTAATAAACATCCCTATTCTGAAATGGATCATTCCTTTATTAATGACATTTACTACCGTTATTAATTTTATTTTTAGTTTTTGTATTTAAAAAAAAACAAAAAAAAAAGACTATAAGAAAAAAATGAATTCATAAGGTAAATTACAATGCTAAGGCAATAATGAAATAATAAAGATGCATTGTAGAACTGAATCCAAAAAAAGATCAAAGGACTAAACACCACTATTGAAAGTAAGCAAAATTTAAAAAAATGGTGAAAAATTATAAATAAAATAAATCAGCAATTTCACTGTTCCCGGATTTAAAAGGTAATCAAATTGATTTTGTATTTCAACACAAAAACAAATATGTATAATTAAATATATGTACCATGTTTTAATGGTATGTGTACATGGAAATATTAATATGTACATATATGTATGGTATTGTGTTAATCAACCAACTTCAGAACTAGATTTTCTACTTCTAGAATATCAAATTATAAACCAAAATCTGGTACGCATAGGCCTAGTAGATTCTCATTCATTGATACAGCTATTGATGGATGAAAAAAAAAAAAATAAATGATGTTAATTTTTTGAAAATTGAATCCATATATGTAGTATTTTAAATGTATTTATTGTAATGTCTCTAGTTTTACTGTTCTATTATTCTGTAATTTTAGTATTCTTATTTAGGGACCACTGTGGCAATAAGTTGCTTTTTGCATTTCTGTGTTTTTATCCTTGAATGTTTTAAACTAATGATTACTTTCCAGAATGTTCAGATGGTACAAAAAAAAGGGCGTGTTCTTTGTGCTTGGCTTTGTTGAGTTTCAAATAGTACTAATGTACGTTTAGGCGTTTGTGCGATACACATTTACGTAATTTTTGCTATGAGCTTTGTTGTTAACGTTTTTGTTGAGCAAATACTGTAATAAATAAAAAGCTATCAAAAATTGTAATAGTAGGCTAAGTATGTCAGTCAAATGAAGAATGAAAAAATAGACCATTAACGGCTTCCAAATCTCTTTAGTGAATATGGTGGCTCTGAAAAGAGCCGTTTGGTTTGAAAAGATGGTTCACAAAATCTACTTGGTTTTGGCCTGGGTCTTCTTTGGCAAAAGTACAGCCTGGATATTTGGTAGTACACCTCCTTGTGCGATGGTCACACTTCCGAGAAGACGGTTCAACTCTTCATCGTTACGGATGGCAAGTTGAAGGTGACGGGGGATGATTCTGCTCTTTTTGTTATCACGGGCAGCGTTACCAGCCAACTCCAAGATTTCAGCAGTCAAGTACTCGAGTACGGCAGCCATGTAGACTGGGGCACCAGCACCGACTCGAGATGCATAGTTACCCTTTCGCAAGAATCGGTGGACACGACCGACTGGGAACTGGAGTCCAGCACGGCTTGATCGGCTCTTGGCCTTTCCCTTAGCTTTTCCTCCTTTACCACGTCCAGACATAATGTATTCGCTATTCGGTTACTAAAATCAAGAATGATGCTTATTCGGCGATTAGATTCGTTTATATAGCCTGCACGGGTGTTGCGTTTGACTTCTAGCACCTATTGGTTTAACCAATCACAGACGAGACAGTCCCAGCTTAGCTCTCTCGTTACCCAATCGTCTGCTAATAACTGTCCTATTCCCTTTGGCGCTAATTTATAATTTTATTTCACAATCAGTGATGCACGGAAGTACTGCACTCAGTTACAGATTTTTATAAGTAAACAGTATTATTAAATAATTAATATAGTCGAACGAAGAACCTTGCTTTTCCCCTACATAAATGGTTCTATCTTCCCGTTGAAATGGTTTAATTATTTTGAAAATTAAAAGCCGTCTCTCCTTTATTATGCACTTGTCATTTGTAGTCCCGGGCCTAGCGGGGACTTAGCCGAGGATGTATTTACGAAACTGTTACATGCATGTGAAGGTCCCGGTAATGCGGGACATCGTTTTAATGCACATCATCCCGGCTAAGTCCCCGCCAACTACTGGTGAGATACCCCGCTAATAAAGATTGGATAAGGCCTACTGTAGCAATTAAGCGAGACACACAAAACACAATTTGAATTGAAGGTCTAGCCTCTGTCTTAATCGGAGAAGCATGGACCTATCAATAATATTAATAATCTTATTAATAGGTCCATGGGAGAAGCATCTAGGCAGGAGCTAGCCAAGGAAATAAGCTTACTTGAGGAAGAGTGTATTGATTGATCACAGAAAAATGAAAATCGATATATTGGTTTAACTGATTGATAGAATTTGTTTAGTATCAAAGCAGAAATTAAATAAGAAAATTAATATATAGCAGTAGAAACATTTCCCAGCCTCGGCTAACTGGTGTATTTTTAAGCTAAATATCTTGATATGTGTCACATTTGGCGGATATGCTGTTTGCCAAGCAAGAATATTACACCTAGATGCCGGGAGATCTCGCACCGTTTCATTCCCTGCAAATGCGTTTAATTGTGTTTTAATTTGACAATTAAAAGTACTTTACAGGCCTACAACCTTACACCTCCCGAAAAAAAAAAGAAGTTATAAAAATCAACGCCTTTTTTTCTAATACAGAGAAGTATGAGTAGGATAATACATACTCCAAGTATCGAAATGCACGCCATCGTGTCGGGATTCATATTTCGACATTAATCGTCAGGAGTATTGCACGCCATCGTGTCGGGATTCAATATTTTGGATGACATAATTACTGTATGTCGAAATATTGAATCCCGAGTATATATACTGTATATACTATATTACACTATCTTATCTGAGATTAATCAGTGGACTTTGCGGTTTTTGGAAAAGTATGAGTAGGCCTATGAGAAGGTAATTGCCCTGTCATTTTTTTATGTGTATGAATTTAATTCAAGACACTCCCTACCACCATTACCCCCTCCTCCCCAACTTCAGAAAATTATACACAATTGAATCAGGGAGTTGTTATTTAAAAAACAAACTCCCTGGTTGAATCAAAACGAACGAGTTGGTCTCGAAAATTCAGACACTGTTACGTTATATCAGTACAGTATAATACAATTCAATGGAAAATGGATGTTCAGCAATTGCTGATAATGCCTAGGCTAATGTAGGACCAGACCATTTGACAGCTACACCCCGGCCCTTTCGATGCCGGTTACATCTACGGGTGAATTTTAGGTACGTACCAATACTACGGGGACACAATTATATGTACGTCCCCGGCTCAGTACCGGCTATGGCCCGGAGCCAGGACTACAATTGACAAGTGCATTATCAGCGACAACTTCTATATTTGTTTCACTAGAATTTTACAGAAAAATGTAGGGTTTTCAAAGAATCTATTTAGCTCTTACACTGTTACAACGCCTTTGTCCAACCACGGAGGAATTTTCAACAAATTTTGCGCCCAAATTTAAAGAAAAACGCCAATGAAATTGAAATGGCGCCCCCTACAAAAATGTGAGGGAAAACATGTACCACATCATTTACTGTAACCGTATGTAGATTCGTGTATTTATATATATCGATATGCATATGTATATATAGGGGCCTATATATGTATTTATCAAATAGATAAATAAATACCACGAAGATATAATCGTATCAAGCATAGCCCTTCAACGAAAAGTTTATTTTTTATGTAAGAAAACAAATTAAACGTTGCTCCTGTTTTATACACCATGGGCATATGCTACATACATAATCCATACATAGCATAGTATACTAGTTTCTTCATATGCCTGTATTTTTTGAAAACAGGCATATTTAGAAACTGTAGTTGTACTGTAGACAATATGCTTTTTCCCTTTCGTTCAATTTTTGGCTCTGAAAAGAGCCTTTTGGTTTGAAATAACTGATTAACAGTTTATGCACGTTCACCACGGATACGGCGGGCCAGTTGGATGTCCTTAGGCATGATGGTTACACGCTTGGCATGGATGGCGCACAAGTTGGTATCTTCGAAAAGGCCGACTAAGTAAGCTTCGCTAGCCTCTTGAAGAGCCATGACGGCAGAACTCTGGAATCGGAGATCGGTTTTGAA